GCCACTCAACTGGGGAGCCTTTTAAATTCAAATTCTCAGGCTGCTTTCCCAAAGATTCAGTAGGGGTCTTCTTTTCTCCACACTTTGAAAAATACTGACCTAAATTTCTCTGCTTAACTTGCCAGGCATATCATGATCCTACCCCTGATTATCTTTCCATCCTTATCTCTGCCCATACCTCCACTTGTGCCTTATGCTCTAGCTCAGGGGTTAACAAACTACAGCACTGCTGGCAAGCCAAAGTCAGCCTGTTGCCTGTTTTGGTAAATAAAGTTTTATTGGAACACAGCCACATCCATTCACCACATTCTGCCTATGGTTGCTTTTGTGCTATGATGGCAAAGTTGAGTAATCGCAACAGAGATCACATGGCCCGCAAATATTTACTATCTGGCCCTTTACAGAAAATTTGCCAATTCCTGCTCTGGTGTATACCAAAATACATTGCATTTTCCAGTCTAATATGCTTCAATACAGTATATTTCTTCTCCCATTTTCTGGGAGACTCCTATTCTTCCTTACAGATTCATTCCTACTGTGTGAACCCATGTCTGACATACCCAGTTAGGCATCCTTTCTTAATGCCCCAAAAGCACTTTGCCTCCATTGCCCTCATTTCTTACCTCACTATAATTATTTTTCTATATGTCTAGCTATATGCCTAGTCCACTGAAATGTGAGCTCCCAAGAACAGCTATAAACTCTCATTCATCTTTGTATCTCTGCTGTCTAACACAATGCCTGGTACATATTTGGTGTCCAACAAATGTTTGATGAATTAATGAATAAACTTTTCTGAAAACCTTAAAGAGCAAAACATTCTGAATAAGGTTATTTACACTTAGATTTCAATTGGTTTCTGTAGTATTAAAATTACTGCTTAGGGTTCAACTATCTGCAGAGGTACCCTAGAGAAAATACGCACGTAACCTAGACAGGAAAGGAAGGCATATTAAAACATTAATATCTACTGTCAGAGATTTGTTTAGTAGATGGGTTGGCTCTTTGGACTTGATCTTGTGGAAAGCACTGATGGAGTAGGAGGACAGAAAAAGTAGAAAATGTCTGAGCTTTGTGGCACTACCCAAGGAGGGTAGCTCCAACTGTAGCAAAGGATGGCTAAGAGGCTAATAGGAGGGACTTCAGGGGCCAAAGGACAGGTCTGGGAATGTCAAAGAGATTTTTCGGCCAAGTTAAAATTTTTGTGAGAACCAGCACTACTCAGAACAACTGAATGGAACCGAAGACCTTGCCTTCTTACCTAAGGAAGGTGGAAGAAGCACGGCTGGCCCACTCTCTCATCAGTCCCTCACCTGGAACTTGATGCCCTACACTGTCAGGCTGGGCAATACAGTATGGTGGTCTTGTTACCAGCTCATAGTCTGTGGCAGGAATATATCGGGTCTAAGATATTCGAATTTACTCATTTGTTCATTCAATAAACATAAAAGTCAAATATAAAATAAGAAATAAGAACCTTCTATGATCAAAGCCTCTGAAAATAACACATTTCGATTTTTTTGTAATTGAAAGCAGCAAGTCAGGGAGAAGAGGCTTTTTTTCCTAGTGGTGGACATGCAGGTGAGCTCAGGAGACCACTTTTCTCACACAATACAACCATTTAGGGCACACCTTAAGTTCATTTCATGTCCCATCCCATTGCCCCTGTCCCATCTGGGGACACAGGTAGGAGCAAAGGGTAGTGGAGGTGTAAACACAGCTGCCAACGTTGTGCAACAGCACACACTTAAGAATTACTAAAACGAGCCTCTCAGGTGCCTACTGCACTGTGCTAAGGAGCAAGGAAGTCACTGCTGGCTAATATATTAACGATAAGATTTTCTGAGTACCTACTATGTGTTAGACTCTGTATTCAATGCTTTATATGCATTATCTCTAATCCTCAACAAAGCCTGTGAAGAAAGTATTCAGCATTTTACAGATAAAATGGAAGCTCAGAAAGGTTAAATATCTTGGCCAAGATTTTCTCCTTCTCAACTAGCCTAGGAGGGATCTCCTCAGCCAGTATTTGAGTTTCACTACTTAGCACTTTCCCTAGCCCTCGGTTTCAGATGCCCAATCTATCTCTTGCTTTATTTTTCCCATTTGCTATTGTCTGTATACTCCAGTTGGTTGGCTCAATGGAGCACACTGATTAAATGAAGCCCAGGTACATCAGGGCTATCTCCTTAACGCGACTCTGTTCCAATTCAATTCAATCACTATTAACTAGTACTCCACGCTGTCTCGGGCACATTGCTAGACGCCTAAGAAGCAAAGCTGTGCCCCCATTCAAATCAGTCCTGCACTTACTCCAGGAAGCTAGATGGCAGGATGTGGAGAGCTCTTGGCAAATTCACTCACCACCACTGATGAAAACAACTCAGAATACAGAATCTTTATAGAGATCCTCATATCCTCATCATCTGTTTCCTAACCTGCTCATTCAAATACTGCCTCTCTCTAACTGCTGCTCTTGCCCACTTCATCCTCTTCCTGTTGCCTTGGACTTGCTGTCAGCCAGTTTGTCATCCTTTATGATCTCACCAGCACAGCCACCATCCTTCCAAGCCCCAACCCTCCCCTTCCCTTATACAGGGGAAAATGGAACCTGAGGCTCCATCACCCATACATAACGTGAGGGAGAAGTGTGTCTTGTGTGCTAGTATGTATGTATATACTAGGAGGACAATACAATTTGCAGGACTGTAACAACTAGAGCACAGAGAAGGCAGGCCTGAGAGCTGCCAAAGCCTTTCTTAAGGGCTGTTTCATACCGCCTGACTGCTGAAAGAGCAGTCCAGTCTTGCTATACATGGCATTTAAATATTACTCATCCACAACTACGCCATGTATTCAAAGTGAAAGTAGTGTATTCAGAGGCACTATCCATCCAGAGGCATCTGAAATGGATTTTCTTTTCCATAACCAGTGAAGATTTAAGAAACTGCTGGTTTCTAAATACTCTCATAAAAACAATGAATTAATAAAGTATGAGAACTGAATTCATTTTGCTTACCTGTGAACTCTATAGAAAGTAACCCAAATTTAACTTCACTCTTTTTGGCAAAAGAATAAAATTTCATACCCCTCACTACACTTTTCTAGTTTAAGACATAATTCTTATGTGATATTATAGGTAAGTAAAATAACTCAAAATCCTGTGTATTTTTCTTGTACTTATTTGAGATTATTGAGAAAGTTATTAAAGTTATTAAACAAAGACTTTGAGAAAGTTATTAAATGTTTCAAAAGTCTGAAAAGGAAACGACTGAAAACTATGTAGAATATACTGTGAGAGTCTCAAACGCAAGAAATTAAAGAACAATATGTTATTTTAGCATCCTTAAGCAGCCATATTATTATTTTTTGGGAAAGATAGTGGATACAGTATTCAGATTTAATTTCAAAATTAACACTGAAAGAGGGGCCAACCCAGTGGTGTAATGGTTGGGTTCACGCGCTCCGCTTCGGTGGCCCAGGGTTCATGGGTTCGGATCTGGACACGGACCTGCACACTGCTTGTCAAGACATGCTGTGGCAGGCGTCCCACATAAAATGGAGGAAGATGGGCACGGATGTTGGCCCAAGGCCAATCTTCCTCAGCAAAAAGAAGAGGACTGGCAACAGATGTTACCTCAGGGCTAATCTTCCTCACACACCAAAAAAATTAGCAGTGAAAGAACAAGCTAGTAAAGACTTTTAAGGAAAATTATTTTCTGATTTTTCCAGAAAATTTTCAGAACTCCCCCTTTCTGTCTTGGAAATACCACTTCCTATTAGAAGGGGTTTGCTACTTCACAAGCAAACTGTTCCTCTAGGTGAGTCCAATTCCAGAGTAGTACTGTGTTGGGCTTTCCCTTCTGTCCACCACTTTTCTCAGAGACTTCTACAGGAACAAGAAGAGGAGGTGATGTAGAACAACACAAGCAGCACAGAGAAGCCGGAAATTTTTTCAGTCTCTCTGAGGATGGGTGGAACAAAAACTTGACAGCATCAAAGTGCTACTGGTTAGGTGGAGGACAAAAGGGCACCCAAAGGAAAAAGCTATCAGGAGCACCATGCCAGAGATTGTGGAAAGTAAGACCTCTGGAAAGCATAGAGAAGGGGGTATTTCCAAATTCTAGAAGTCTGATTCCTTAAAAAAAAAAATCCAATCTCCTAAACATTCTAAAATATTAATAAGCTGATGATCAATAAGCTGACATCCCTATCTTCACAAAATAAAACTAAACAATATTAATGTGGATAGACATGAAGACAGAAAGAGTAGGTTATACATAGACAAACCATACGAATTAACCAATAATGAACATTGTCTGTCATCTTATAATCAAAGGGATAAGTGATTTGGATAGGGAAAGGGGCATGGTGATGGGATATTAAGATAGATTAACAGGAAGGAATTCATTGCTTTCCTTAGAGAAGGCTTTCTAGAGGAGGTTAGATTCCAGACTCTGGACGAATAGCAACAGGAGCTTAGCAGAGTGTTCCAACCAACCACAGGAAAATAGCTCAGAGGGAGAGTGAACTGATTACATGAATGGGGCATTGAGTAAGGGAGGCTGAGAAGAAAGGGGAACCGTCAGGGGGAACAAGGCTGGTTCACGGTGCCCTAGTCAAGGTCTCCGAACTGGAGAAAGGCTGAGAGGGGCCAAGGGAAGCCAAAAAGAAAAAGCACAGTCGTTTCTTCACTTATCTCGGGAGGCAAGTCAAGAACTAGAGTTTGCACCACCTAAAAAAGCTGACAAACAGGCTTGCTCTGGGAGAGAAAAATTTCCAGAGGAAAGGGCCTTTTCTGGAAAATCGCAGCTCCGGTGTTCCCTGAATTCCTGGCTGGGTACCATGGGGCAATAACTGGAGAGGCGCAGGGCTGTCTAAGGCAGGTGTTTCTTGGGTGTTGGCACGGACTACCGAGCTGAGGCTCAGCGGTGGGACTAGCACTTAGCGACAAGCAGGCGGCGGCGGCGGCAGCTGCGCGTGCAAACCACAGGACTTACCTTACTGTCATCCATCTCGGCAGACAGGCCGGCCTGGCCAGGCGCTCCCTCCCCCTGCCCTCCCCCGGCTCAGCCGGCCTGGCCCGGCCCGGCCCCCGCCCCGGGGGAAGAAGGGGATATGGTTCTGACTGCCTCCTCCTCTCGCCTAACAGTTCGCTTTCCTGATGCCACAGTCACGGGGACGAGGGACCAATTCAGGAATGGCAGAGCGGACCCTGGAGGCGGCCCAAAACGCCTCCCTTCGCCGCCGCCGCCTCCTCCTCCCACTCCATGACAGTCTCTGGGTGTGTTTACAGACGCCCTGGAGAGGGGCCGGGAAGGGAGAGTGGGAGGGAGTGGTGCACGGGGAATGGCCCCCTTCGGCTGCCGTAGCACCGCGGCATTCTGGGGATTGTAGTTTTCCTTACCGCAGTCTCTTCGCGGCTGACTAGAAAGAAAACTACAATGTCCACATAGCCTCAGCAAGGCGTCTGCTTTCCTCTTGCCCGTAAGCGCTGCGCAGGAGGGGCCAGGCAGGAGGCCGAAACTACGTTTCCCACAGTGCGCTCCCCTGGATGTTTTGGCCCGGGAGTTCCAGCGGCCTGGGCAGGCAGAGAATGGAGTTTGGAGCCCCGCGGACGCAGCCGTGAAGGAGGGACCCTGGGAGCAGACCCTCCTCAGGGACACCGAGGAAACCCTGAAGGTTCTTTATTAAAGAAAAAAAAAAAGAAGAAGAATGTAAAATGGTGCAGCTGCTTTGGGGAACAATTTGGCACTTCCTCACAATTTTAGACATAGAGTTACCCTATGGCCAGCGATTCCAGGAGAAATGGAAGTATATGACCACGCGAAAACTTGTACACAAATGTTCTGTCCTAGAAGCATTGTTCGTAATAGTCAAAAAGTGGAAACAACCGAAATGTTTACCATTGGAAGAGAGGATAGGCCAATTGTGGTATAAATGTACAAAGGAACATTAGATCATGAAAAGGAATAGAGTGCTGATACATGTTACAATATGGATGAGCCTTGAAAACATGCTAAGTGAAAGAAGCCAGACACAAAGGCCACATATTATAGATTACATTTATAATGAAATGTGCAAAATAGGTATGTTTAAAGAAACGAAAAGTTGAGTGGTTGCCATGGACTCGGGTTGGGGAATAGCAGGGAGTGAGGGGGCCCCAGGGAATGGGGAGTGATTGTTAATGGGTACTGAGTTTCTTTTTGAGGTGATGAAAATGTTCTCAAATTGATTTGCTGATGGCTGCACAACTCTGCGAATATACTAAAAACCACTGAATTATACATTTTAATTGAGTGAATTTTATGGTATGTGAATTATATCTCAATAAAGCCACTAAAAAAATAACTGTCTTTAAGTCTTCCTGGCTTAATAAATTCAGTGAGCTTGTTGTTGTTTTAGCCTATGTTAGGCCATTGAGAACTTGACAAAGATTGTGTGTTCCTTAATGTTATTCTAGAGAGCCCTTTGACATACTCCTTTTCAAAGACTCCTAAAGTGCTTTGCTAAACCCTTCCAAAATTCAATTGAGGTAGAATTCCCAGATTTAGCAACAAATATACAGGACACTCTCTTACATTTGAATTTCAAATAAACAAATACTTTTTTAGTATAAGTATGTGCATACAATACTTGAGACACACTTTTACAAAAAAAAGTATTCGTTGTTCATCTGAAAGTCAAATGTAACTGGATATCTTCTATTTTATGTGTTGTTGACCTTAAACAAATAGCCAGTTATTTTTCTAGCAAAAATGGGTTTATTCTGGATCAGGAAAGACTTGCAATTCAAGATCTGAAACCATAGTAAACCACCGGTAAGTTCCTAAGCAACAAGGGGAGAAGAAACTCTTTTATAGAGGGGAAGAGGAGGTTGGGAGAGCATGTAAACAGAGAGTCCATTGGAAGAGTTTGAAGTGTAGTGGCTTTTCATTGGCTGAGTTGTGACAGTCTCTCATTGGCTGAACTCTTGCTGGACAAGAAGAGGAAGTTTTTCTTCTTCCTGCTGGGCTCCACCAGTCAACGTAGGGTGTGACAGCACCCCCTTCTGGGCTGCCGACTTCATTTTAAATGAGGTTTCTCGTTATTAATTCACACTGGCAACTCCAAATTGAGGAAGAGTAATAATAGGAAAGTTGAATTGTGTCTGTCCCGTCTATGTAAGGCTTCAGAAGAACTAAAGTAGGTTAGTTGCTCTAAGTAAATGCCGCCTAGTGAAGCTATGCGGCTGGTAATGGGTCTGATGTGCTGGGGTTGCTCTTGTCCAGTCGGACTCACCCTTAACCCCTAAACTGCATTCCTGGCGGTCTGAGAGACGCCTAGCCACATCCTCTCTGATGATCAGGGGAGCAAAAGTCAATGCTCTGCAGGGTCTATTCCTCTTCTTCCTAATACCCATTATGTTGGACACCTCCACAAGCTGCTTTCCACCTCCTTCTAGCCTCGTTGTCCTGTGCCCAGCATGGCGTCAATTCTGCCTCCCCAGCTACACCTTTCACGCTGCTAAGCCCTCTTCTTCCGGTGGAACTGCCTTTCCCCTGGGTTAGTCCTCTGCCACTCTCTCTTCCTGCACCCCAGCTGACAAAAGCGCACCTGGCCCTCTGTAATGGCACTCATCCACCCTGTCCTTCCACGGATGGCCATGCTTGGCTGCAGTGTGAGCAGCTGGCAGATCCAATGGCCAGCCCCTCAGGAAGGAGGGCCTTTTCAACCATGTATGGAAACCTAAAAACATGCAGAGGAAGTATGTACACCAGCTTCAAGAGAGTGGTTTTCTCTAGGGAGGGAGGGGAACCTGAGGGGGAGGGTCTTTTTTTTTTTTTTTTTTTGGTGAGGAAGATTCGCCCTGAGCTAACATCTGTTGCCAATCTTCCTCTTTTTATTTTTTTGAGGAAGATTTGCTCTGAGCTAACATCTGGCCCAACCTTCCTCTACGTTGCATATGTGATGCCTCCACAGCATGGCTGATGAGTGGAGTAGGTGCCTGCTGGGAATCCGAACCTGTGAACTGGAGCCACCAAAGGGGAGACCACTCAGCAACCGGGCCAGCCCCTATATTTAACTTTTACAGAGATGAAGCAAATATGTTAAGTGTGGTGGTGGACTGAATGTTGTATTGTTTTCTTTGTATTTCTGCACATTTGAAATATTACACAATCAAAATAGGAATTTAAATTCCTTTAAAAAACTATAAACACGCTCACTTTAGAAGGTGTGAAAACAATTTAAATTATTTTTTAAAAATTTAATTTATAAAAATAAAGCTTAATCATATCACAAAATAAGACTTTGTAAAAGGAAGAAAATCTTATGAAGAAGTACTGTGTAGTCATATGTTAAACGTTTGCTGCAAAGTACCCAGAATTGGTAACAAAGAGGTGAGAAAGAACTAAAGGGAGTATTAGCTTCTATAAGTATAAATCCTCAAGGACTTTATAATCCAGGAAGGAGAAATTCACACATACAGGAGACTATGAACAGTCACTCAACAAGGCATCCGGTGAAAAATTAATACAGATCAAATTTAATATCTATGTGCTAAGTTGTTCAGAGTGGGTAGGGAGAGCCAAGCATCAGACTGATTCCCAGAAAAGGAAAAGTGAACACAGCAAAAGAAAAAAAATTTTTAAAGGAATGGGAGGAAGTTTAGAAGAAGAATATGTTCTCAGGGTCCTGAGCATACTTGATATCCATGGTTTTCAATCTTTTCTTCCTATATCACCTTCTCAAAAGGAACCTCCAAAGCATGCAATTCCTTTCAAAAATGCATATAATTTTCTCCTCTCTACCCTCCCCACCCCTCCCTCCCCAACACACACAAACACATTTCACACACACTCAGACATCCCACGTAGAGGCACTGTTGGCCTATGAGGCATCAAGCCTCTGCTCCTGCTGTGGAGTTTCTTGTAGTGAATTCCTAAACAGCATGGCACACACCCACTCCCATTAGGTCTGCATGCCTTCCACGCCCTCATCTCTCTCTCTCCTGTTCCCCTCACTACTAGGCTAAAAGAGCACAGGTGTCTAAACAGAGCCAAGATGATCACGTTACTCCCTGGGCCATGCGGGTCTGCTTGGCACATATCCCCTGGGGAACATCAGAGAGAAAGGAGGCTCATTAAAATAGCTTGTTAGGCTCCAGCTGGCTCTCCATGAAGTTTGACACATAAGAGTCTAAGAATTTAAAGATTATCCAGCCCTTTCCAAACTTTCATTGGAAATGAAAATTGTTTGATTCCATTCTGGAGTGGAAATTTTTGCTAGACCCATCTCCAATCTAGAAATAGCAGTAATTAAAAAGAAAGCTTATCAAAAAAGAAACAAAGGTGGCCATGCAATCTCTCATGGTAACTTCTGACCCACCATATCACACATGACACATTTGGGGAAGAAGGTATCCCAGAGTCCTCCCAGAAGTGACCAGTCGTTACTTCTCTTCCCTGGCTTGTCTTTTCAAAGAGTTGATCATCTCTGGCTGAGTGATAACGAGTTTAAAATGCAGCATGGCTGTACAGTGAATTTGTGGATGGTTCAAATTATGACAAAGAGACTGAGAAAGGAAAGGAGGAAAACTATTCAAAGAGAAAAACAAACCACTAATTGAAGAGAGGTAGGGGGTGGCATGAGATTAAGTGAGGAGTGTAGGGGAACAAAAATTAACCTTCTTATAGAAACCACAAACAAGGCAAACAGTGCAATATTCTACATTCAGGAATGCCATGGCTACGTTGATATGTAAATCTGGCACTCAAACAACAGAGTATTATTGCTGCTAATATGGTAATCTTCAGAGGTACAGAGCAAAAGTGGGTGGGTCATGTGAAATTCATGAAATGCTTGAGGTGAACTCACTGTTGAAGTATTAGTCATGTTTTGTTTTGTGTGTGGTTTTTTTTCCAATTTATTTTATAGATAAGTATTCCTCTGTACTTTTTGTTTCCGAAAAGTTTAGCTTATTTTCATGAGGCTGTAAAAGATTCCATCTCAAAAGTCTGTTTCTGTTCTAAAGGCATTTTGAAAAATGCCTCCCCTCCTTTGGCCTACACGGACAAATATGCCTACATTTGCATACAGCACAGTACCTATTTACTCTCTGCATTGGCTAGAAAGTTCAGAGGCAAGAGCCTACAGGAACATTTTCAGAGTGAGCACATAACTCAGCCTCCAGCTTGTCAGCAGGAGCAAAATAAATAAATAATGCCAAGAAGGACTGAAACAATCTGTTGACAAGGAAGGAAAAAGAGACCCAATCAGCATAAAAAGAAGGAAGAGAAAACGAAGCTCAAGGAACCAAAACCTCCTATGTTCAAACTTTCCCTTACCTCTTCC